TAATTAACAAGCTGTGCATTGAGGAGGATAACAAACGGGCTGAACGTAAGTCAGAGAATTCTTACTCTGAGAAGGCTAATGTATTGGAGTACGGCCAAAGTTCTAATACTAAGAAAGTTCACTCCTATAAAGCCAAACAGGGTAACGAAAATTGAAAAGATAAAAAAAGGCTACGAAAGGGTCTCAGTTGAAGCCTGCAGGTAGGGTAGGAAAGAAACCTAAGTTCCAGTTCAATGGAAAGTGCTTCAATTGTGACAAAGTTAGGCCTCGATCTACAGACTGTAATCAGCCTCGGAGGGATAATAAGCAGCGTCCTCAGGCTAATATGGTTGGATATGAGAGAGATCATCTCTCAGATGAAATGTCTGAGCTAAACCTCGGCGGTGATTAGTGAGGTTAACCTCGTGGGGTCTAACCCAAAGGAGTGGTGGCTGGACACTGGGGCTACTTGCCATGTCTGCTCCAACAGGAGCATGTTTACTACTTTTGCACTAGTTACAAATGGTGAAAAGTTGTTCATGGAAAACTCTGCAACTTCTAAAGTGCTTGGTAAAGGCAAGGTGATCCTGAAGATGGCATCTGGCAAAGAGCTTACTCTGATTAATGTGCTGTACGTGCTAGAGATTCGCAAGAATCTAGTCTCTGGGTCTCTTCTGAGCAAGAATGGGTTCCGCATGGTCTTTAAGACGGATAAACTGGTAATTAACAAAATAGGAGTTTATGTTGGGAAATGCTATATGACTGATGGCCTGTTTAAATTGAATGTAATTGATGTGACCCCAACTGTTATGAGTAATGAGAAAACTCCTTTTGTTTACTTGCTTGAGTCTCCTAATCTGTGGCATGGTAGATTAGGTCACGTAAATTACAATGCTTTATGTAGACTAAGCAAACTAAATTATTTTCCTAGGTTTCAAATTGATTCAAATCATAAATGTGAAACATGCATTGAATCTAAGCTTACTAGGTCTTCGTTTCATAGTATTGAAAGAAGTATCGAGCCATTGGGACTAGTCCACAGTGATGTATGAGACTTGAAATTTGTCCAAACACGAGGCAGTAATATGTATTTTATTACTTTTGTCGACGATAGCATGAGATATTGATATGTGTACTTGCTTAAAAGCAAAGACGAAGTTATTAATAAATTCATTCTTTATAAGAATGAAGTTGAAAATCAACTTAGTAAGAAAATAAAGGTGCCACGGAGTGATCGTGATGATGAATATGAATCACCATTTGGTGAATTTTGTGCTAAACATGGAATAATTCACCAAACTACTGCACCTTATTCACCTCAACAGAACGAAATTGCTGAACATAAGAAAAGAACTTTAAAGGAAATGATGAATGCTATGTTGATTAGTTCTGGATTACCATAGAACATATGGGGAGAGGCTATTCTTTTCGCAAATTACATCTTGAATAAAGTGTTAAGAAAGAATATGGATAAGACTCCGTATGAACTTTGGACAAATCGGACACCTTCATATAAATACTTACGAATGTGGGGGTGTCTTGCTAAAGTTGTGGTGCCTCCTCCTAAGAAGGTCAAGATTGGACCTAAGACAGTTGATTGTGTGTTCATTGGTTATGCACAAAATAGTAGTGCATATAGGTTCCTTGTGCATTATTCAAATGTACCTGATATTCATCCGAACACAATTATGGAGTCTAGGAATGCACAATTCTTTGAAAATATATTTCCTTGTAAGTCTTCTAAACAGTTAACTCCTATTAAACGGACAATGGAATCTTCTGCTTCTGACAGTAGTAAAGATCCAGTTGAAGAAGATGAGGATGAGCCTAGACGGAACAAAAGGACCAAAACTTCTAAGACGTTTGGCCCTGATTTTCTCACATACTTGATGGAGAATGATCCTCAAAACTATAAAGAAGTTATATCTTCTCCAGATGGTCATTTGTGAAAAGAAGCCATCAAAAGTGAAATCGATTCCATTCTACAGAATCATACCTGAGAGTTAGTAGATCTTCCACCTGGCTGTAAGCCTTTGGGTTATAAGTGGATCTTCAAGAAGAAGAAGAAAGCGGACGGCTCCATTGATAAATATGAAGCTCGGCTAGTAATCAAAGGTTATAAGCAAAAGGACGGCTTAGATTACTTTGATACTTATTCTCCTGTGTCGAGAATAACTTCTATCCGGATGGTAATTACTATTGTAGCCTTGCGAAATCTGGAAATACATCAGATAGATGTAAAAATAGCTTTTCTAAATGGAGATTTGAATGAAGAAATCTACATGGAGCAACTAGAAGGGTTTACAGCTCTAGGTCAAGAAAGGAAAGTTTGTAGACTGGTTAAATCGCTGTATGGTTTGAAGCAAGCACCGAAGTAATGGCATGAGAAGTTTGATAATGCTATGCTTTCTAGTGGTTTTAGAATCAATGAGTGCGACAAGTGTGTATATGTCAAGGACACTATGCTGATGCAAATTGGATATCAGATATGTCAGATACCAAGTCTACTAGTGGATATGGCTTCACTCTTGGTGGTACAGCTGTATCTTGGAAATCGTCCAAACAAACTTGCATTGCAAGATCTACGATGGAATCAGAGTTCATCGCTTTGGATAAAGCAACTAAAGAAGCAGAGTGGCTCCGCCAGTTTGTTGATGATATTCCAAAATGGTCAAAGCCTGTGCCTACAATTTGTATTTATTGCGATAATCAATCAACAATTGGCAGGACACAGAGCAATATGTATAATGGTAAGTCTCGCCATATTTGAAGACGACACAATACCATTCGACAACTACTCTCACAAGGTATTATCACTCTGAACTACGTGAAGTCAAAGGATAATATTGCGGATCCTGTAACCAAAGGGCTAAGTCGAGAGCTAGTTGTAAAAGCATCGAGGGGAATGTGCTTGCAATCTATGACGTTGAAAGGTATCATGGTGGAAACCCAATCTAGTTGAATGGAGATTCCAGGATCTAGGTTCAAAGGGACAACTAAAACATGTATATCTGTGTAAATCACTGAGAATGTTCTCCTTCTGCTCATTCCTATGGTGCTCACAGTGATTGGAAGATACAGGTTAAGCTACGCTTTTAATGACTATTAAGCGTTGTTGTGAAAAATTGAGTTAAGAGGTCACCTATGTGAGTGTGAAGTGGGGCCGCTTCTATAAGGATTGGCAAGGCTACATCCTTGAAAAAACACTTGCAGAACCAAGCAACGTGTTCATGGCCAAAACAAACACAACAGTAAGAACTATGCTGTGACTAGAATGGTCCTGTGTGAGATCTATTGTCTTGATTTACACAAATGGTGAAACAGTTCAAGGCATCATATCCACTGGTTTACTAGTAATTCCCGATAGGTTTCACAAGGGAATGTTCAAAGCTAAATGCTATCTATCCTATGCAGGATTGATTCGTTTTACTCTCTCTTTCCTCTTGAGTCTTAGTTTCCATTTTTCATTCATGTTGGAGATTGTTAGAATTGAATGAAAAATATTGAATGGAAGTAATGAAAAATATTGAATAGAAGTCTCTTCATATGTTGTAACTCAAGTAACTCAAGTCCCTTCATGTTTTTAACTCCTTAATCAATGAATGGTTTAACTTCTTGATTAATGAGCTAGCTTTTTTTCCATTGGTATAAATAGGAGTCTCTCTAGGTTGGAAAATCGCAAATGAAATGCAAACTTCTTCCTCTAAGCAACAATATTCTTTTTCTCACTTTCAAGTTCTTCCTTGTGCTTATAATTTCTTTGTAAGATAGAGTATATCACATCTAGTTCGCAGGCGGTTAACGTAGTGCAGCGTGAACCGACAACCGATTGTATCCTGGGAGTCGAATACCGATCAAAACCTCTTGCATTCTGGTGAGGCGGCGAATTCGATTTAAGGAAACTGTGAATACATAGGCCTTCGGTTTGATTTGATTCTCTAATATATACCTACAGTTGATAACCTAGGCAATGAAAAAGGAACCCGATACTTCAACTAGAGTAAACAGGAGCAAGATGGATGCAATCAATTAAAGGAAATAATACAAGAGGCTTAAGAGTCTCTTTTAATTGGTTGGACCATAGGTGTGATGATTTACTTCACAGGCCAGATCTCTGATTAAATTTGCAAAGGATATGTGCAACTTCATTTATGAAAGAAACGGGCAAAATATGTTTAAGTTTGTCAAGGCATATTGAAATTTCTAACTTCTAGCATATATATAGACTAGGTAAATGAATAAAATGTAAATATTAAACAAGAACTTATATAATTATTCCCCCCCCCCCCCCCCCCCCCCCCACCCCCCCCCACACCCACAACCA